GCACATATAATTGGTAGCTGGTATATTTTCATTTGATCGATCAACAATTGTCTGTGAAATTTCAACAAATTTACCAATACATTGTTTGTTCAGCTCGTTTCATTCTTTTGGACACACCGATTTTTTAACTTTGAGTTTTATATTTTTTTCTTTTATTTGGATTAAAATTATTAATTATTCAAACATTAATACTATATTATTTAAACGTGGTTTTATATTAAGTTGGGAAAAATAGAATAAATTGGGATTTTGTTTTGTCTATTTTTGATTTTGGGTGTGTCCAAATGTTTGTAAGGGGGTTTTATTCTTTTTTGAAAAAAATCAAAAAATTAAATTATTTTTTTTATTTTTTTTTTCAATGTTTCATAAAATGAAAAATAAGAAGTAAATTTATTTATTGATTGTGAAAAAGGAGTAATCAAAGAAAATTTACTAAATAAAAAAGGGAGGAAGAACAATAATTAAAGCATTAAAGTAAAAAAAAACGTTATATCATTTACATGACTAAATTAAAAATTATCCACGTTCTGAAACAGGAGGAGTAAAAACCCGATAGAAAGATTATTAATAATAAGATTCCACAAACTGTGATTAATAAAATGGTATTCCACGACTCCAAAAAGTGGGGCACAACAATAAGAAGTAAAGGTTCAAAAAACTAAGACCCCTGGTAATTCAAACATTTTAATCTCCGAAAATCTAAAATATATCATTTCACCATACAACTTGTGTTAAAAAAATCTTTTTTATTAAATCAACAGACCACAAGTTAACACAATATTTTTTTTTTTTTTTGAAACAATATGAGAGAAATTCAATTAATAAAGATATCTTGTAATAATATATTAATAAAACAAAACCTTTTTTTTATTTTGTAATAGTTTTTATTTATCTGACAAAAAAACCCCAATTCAAAATTTTTACACACAGAAATTTTGTTTGTGAACAAAAATCTGTTCAGAAAAATTCTAGAAAAATCCTAAATTTGAACAATTAATACATTGAAATATATATAATTATTTATAAATTACAATACTCACAAAACAAAAAATAAATAATAAAGAAAAAAAAAATCTCGGGATGTTATAAATTTTGGGGTGAGTACATCAAAACAATTATTGTTCAATTTGTAAAAATATATTAATAATTAAAAATCATAAAATATTAGGCATTATCAACTAATTTTAATAGATTTTTCTATTTTCAAGAACCTAAGTTTAACCTAATATAAATCGTTATATAAAACTTCCGATCGAAGAAGCATGTTAGGTAAATCAAAAAATAAAATAAAAAAAAAACCCAAAAGATGAAAAAATGATTTTCATATTTTACAAAAATGAAAATTATTTCTAAATTTGGATGAAATTGTATTATTGTGATTGTTTGGAACCTTTTAGCTCTCTGGAAAATTTTAAATTTTAGTTTAGTTTGTAAAATCAAAATTATTTCCAAATCTACCATCATTTTTCCGATATCAAAATTTGAAGTTTGTATAGATTTTCAAAAAGTTGTATATTGGAATAATAACACTCATATTGAAAAAAAAATTATTTAATGAACCAATATTCAAGAATGTTTTCTAATTTTCAAAAAAGAAATTTTCAGAATTCAAAATGACTCTAAACATCAAAAATTCATTAAGGAACTTCATAAAATTTCCTCTAAAAAATGAATTTATTTTAAAGATCACCTTAGAAGTTTATTTTTCATATCAACTCTTTTCTCAAAAAAATAATTTCAATAAAACGCTTTCTAATTCCTATATTCTTAGATTTAAAAATCTATTTCTACATCAAAATTTGATATTGACAAAATTTCAAGATTAGCTTGGAACAGCTGTAGCAGTTTTTTTATTATCATCTTTTTGTCAGGGTTTTTTTGATTTATCTCTTATTTACAATTTGTTGAAAAAATAGACTCTTTTTGATGATCTAAAAAAACCACTTATACAATATTTTTATTGAATTTTGATAAGACAAGTAGATTTAAATAGTTTTTGTTGATTTGTATGAAAAAAATATAAATGAATCATTCTTTAAAGCACTTCTATGAGTATAAAAGATGACAATGGATCATCCAAAAAACGTTTCAAGTCTTTTTACTCTAAAAAAATCATCTTTGTGTTTTTTGTTTGGATTTGATATGGTGTGGAAAAAAAAAAGAAATGGTTCTGATTGAGTGTGTTTTTGAGTTTAGAACCAGTTTCTAACCGAAGACCAAATTCTTGTATTTTTTGGAACAAACGGATAAGAAATGATAAAACTTTTGTTCCATTTTTTGTAATGAGTAAAGAAAGAAAATTTAAAGCCGAACTAGTATTTGAGTCTGACGAAACTCGTATTTTACGGAACAAAATCCGTCGTCAAGAAGAGCAAGAAGAACTCGATCAAAAAAATTTACTTGAAAGGGAACAAGAAAGAAAAAGAAAAAGGAGAATAAGTAACCAAAAAAAATTTAAAAAGTATCAATCAAAGAATAAACGAATAGCGTTCAGCAACCCAATCACAGATCGTTTTCACACTCTCAAAAAAAAATATCAAAAATCAAACTCTCAGTTTCTTACGATCCTTCTCGACAACTTTGAACAAAGTGAAAAAAGAAAAGAAAAAGAAAAAGAAAAAAAAAACAATAATTAATTTTATTAAAATTGATGAAAAAACAAAGTTTTATTTATTTCCTCTGTATCTTCTAAACTCGATCCATAATAAAAGAATAAGAAAAATAAAAGAAAATCAAATTAATCACAGTTGTAAAATTGAATCGATTATTGAAGAAGAAAACAATAGTCAGGAAAAAAAAGAAGAAAAAAGCAATAATCTGGCCAAAAAGAGAAGAAGAAAAAACAAGAGTAAGAAAGAAAAGGAAGAAGATACTAGAAATGAGAAAGTCAATATGGCTGGTGAATTGGATCAGAATTTTTGATTGTCGAATTGAATTGGCAACTTTGAATTCGATCTTGACTGGCAAACTGAACTGGCCTGACAACCTGAACTTGCAACTGGCAACTGGCAACTAGCAAAAGAAATTGACACTGGAAAGCTTGAACTGTATCTTTGGACTTGATACTGGCAACTTAATTTGAGACTGGCAACTGGATCTTCAGACTGGCAACTTTGTAAACTTGTTCTGGTTGGAAAGCTTGAACTGGATCTTTGGACTGACAACTGGCAACTTGAGATTGGATCTTCAGACTGGCAACTTTGTAAACTTGTTATGGTTGGAAAGCTTGAATTAGATCTTCAGACTGGCAACTGGAAAGCTTGGATTGGATCTTCAGACTGGCAACTTTGTAAACTTGTGCTGGTTGGAAAGCTTGAATTGGATCTTTGGTTTTGGTTTTTTATTCTATTCTCCTTTTAAAAAAAAAGGGAGAATTTTTTCTTTTGTTAGTTAGTTGTTTTTTATTTATTTTTTTTCATTTTTTTTAATTTTTTTCAAAAATCAAAAAGCAAAAATAAAAATAACAAAGAAATTTTTTTGAGTTTTTTGAAAAAAAATGAGAAAAGGTATGGACAGACTTGGACAAAATGAGGAAAAAATAACAAAAAATTTAGAGAAAGAGATTTCTCTAAATCCAAAAAAACATTCCTCATTCTCTAATTTCCTCATTGTTTATTTTATTCAAGACTCTTCGATTTTTCAATAGATCTCATGGGTAAAGAAATTTTTAGAGAAGAAATCTTTTATTTACTCTAAAATTGAATTTTGGGTTTTACATTTTGAAAAGGCAAAATTTTGAAGATTTCTTTTGGGAAAATCAATAGTGTATTTTTTGTGAAAAGTGACGACTTGTCACTTACAAAATCATCGAATTTTGGTAATTAAACTCGTAAAAATTTGAAAATAAATTTTGTTTTTCAAAATGTGTTTTTAAAAAACTTGATCTTGAAAAGTAAAATGAAAAAAAATTAAAATATTAAAGAAAAAAAGCAAATTTTTTAAAAAAAAAATTTTTTTATTGAATCAAAGAGAAGAAATCAACAAGAGACAGAATCACCTTTTACATAAAATGGTTACTTTTTTTTGGTATTTGTTGTTTAAATAATCCTATTGGGATTACATCTCTTTTTTTTTGTTTTAAAAGTTGTTCTTTCAAAAAATTAAAACAAGTCAATAAAGAAGAACAATCAAAAAGTGAGAAAAATTTTTTTTGTGTTTTGTTTCAAAAGAAAAAAAAAAGTAAAAAAAGAAAAAAAAGCAATTGAAATAAAAGTCAAAACCGAAATAAGCATATATAACCGATTTTAAAAAGCATTGGAAATTACGTGAAATAATAATTCTATTATTATAGGTGAGGGTTTTACTGTCTTGTTGTTGTTCTTTTATTGTTTTTTTTTTTGGTTGTTGTACTGTTGTTGTTTTTGTATTTTGTATTAGTTGTTGTTTTGATTTGTTGTTTGGTTGTTGTTTATTGTTTTTTTGTTTGTTTGTTTTTTTTGGAAAGGGTTACACTTGGTTTTTTTAATCAATACACACAAATCTTCAGTTAAACAGTAAACTCAACAACGAACTGAAATGGTTTTGTTTTTCAGTTACCGTTTACAGATCTTGGATTTAGAATTTTGAAAAAAAGAAATTAAAAAGATTGTGAATTGAAGGGATGGTAAAAAATGGTTAAAAAGAAAAATATTCTTTTTTTTTTTTGTTTTTTTGGTTATATCAAAAAAATGCAATGTTTAAAGGTGAGATATGAAGTCCCAGCTTTTGTTTTACTTTTTGAGTTTGAGATTTCTCTAATTATATTTTTTAGAGTTTTTTTTTCACAAAAAGAGAGAATTCTTCGTTTTTCTCTAAATGTCCAAGTCTGGGTATGGATCAACTTTACGAAATACTCATAGAAGTGCTTTAAGGTTTAATTTTTATTTTTTTTTAATTGATTTTCATTTTCAGTTTCCCTTTACATTCTCTTATATTTTTTTTTCTCAATTAGGAGAACCAAAACCTCATGTTTAATAAAAATTCTAAGTTTTCAAAAGTAGTTGTTTTAAAAATTACAAGTAGCTTCGTTGGTTTAATGGGTAAAACGCGCCTCCAGTTGGGGGCGAGATGCGGGTTCAAACCCTGCGCGAAGCGAATTTTTTTGTAAAATTCTTCCTTGATATGCAATTTTTAAACCTTAGTTTTGATTTAAAAATGTTTTTGAATTTTTAATTATTCATACGTTTGTAAAAAGAAATGTTGATCTTCGAAAATGAATTCTTTAATTTTTAAGGACTACGTTGGCAATTTAACAATTTATCTCAACACCTTTTGGCCCAATCTCATTTAAAAAGTGAAGTTAGGATCTTGGAAATATTTTCCAATTTGGATCAAAAACTCATTTTATGTCATTTTTTTTATGAAAAATGAAAAAGAAATTTTGAGATACGTGAACTTGAACACCAAGTAAAGGATGGTAAAAATGAAAAAAAAAAATAATCACTGAATATTTAACATTAAAAAAACTGTCAATAATAAACTTTAAAGCTAAATAATTGTATTTTCAATGATTTTTGAACATTGGGTTACTTTGAATTGTTACATTGTCTCCACAAACAATTAATCCGTCCCAACCCTAATGGAAAATATTATAAGACATATAATTTGGTTTTCTATTATAAAATTGTGTTTTTTGAAAGAGAAAATTCAATTTCGATCATTAGATCAAAATTTCAACTTAGTCTTACTTCCTTCGAGTTTTTTTTTTTTGTAAAAGCCAAGACAAAAATTAAATTTTTCCAAGAAAAGAAATTACAGAAATCATGGAAATCAAAGAAACAAAAGAAATCACAGAAACCCATAGAAACTTGAAAGCGTTTTTTGATCATTGCTTTTAAATTGTAAAAATCTGAGATTATAACAATTTTGGAAAATGAAGATCCACATTAATGTAAGTTTTTTTTATTGATTTGTTTGTCAATTTCAAAAGGAAGCAAAAAATAGATAACTTATTTTTAATCTTCTATTATAAATTTTACAGTTTATAATGAGCTTTAATAACTCTTTTACGGTTTGTTGAACAAAATAAAATTTCAAAATAGAAAATCAATTTGAGTTCTTATAAATTTTTCAAGGTATTTCTGGAACGGCTGTATCGATTATTACAAAGGGGTTGTGATTTTTGCTTTTTTTTTGGTTCTTTTTGTTTTTATTTGAATTACATCTCCCCACAATGACTAAGAAGAGAGTTTCTATTCAAATTGTTTTTGGAACAACATAATCCATCCCAATCCGACTTCAGATTTTTGTTGAGCTTTTTTGATATATACTTTTTTAATGTTTGGATAGTTTCTCTAAAAAAAATCAATTTGCTGTATCAAGATAAATTGGGTTGAAGTTGAGTGATAAATGGATAGAAGAATTTTTCAAGATATTTTCTTTAAATAATTAAAGTTTCTAACAATAAAAATTTCAGTAAAAAAGCTGTAAATATCAAGAAATTGCTTTTTGGAAGTTGTAGTCAATTATTTTTTTAATAAAAAAAATATAATGTTAAGTTGAGATAAAATGATCTTTCTTTTTTTGGAAATGGGAATTTTAGTGGATTTAAAGACACAATACCAAAACTTCTACCGTGGCATTATTCTTAAATCTATTTGTTTTAAAATAACAAAAGTAATATCGATCCAAAAATTTCACTTTTCTCCCTTTTTGACCTTCTAGGTGAGTTTTTATAATCTTCTCTCATCTTAACTAAGTGAAATTATTAAATAAAAAAAATTAGAAAACCCTCAACAGTATATAACGATTCTATATATTGTTCTTAATTGAAATATTCTCAAAAAGCCGATTTTTGCCAACTTTCTTCATTTTTTGTTATTGCAGAAATCACAAAACCTCGAAACGAGTCTGAATAATTTCACTAAAAAATTTGTCATTTTTTCCTATTTAGCTCTCGCTGAATAAAAATTTATGAGATATAACAACCACCAAATCCTGTAAGAATACAAAAAACTTTGAATGTCAATTCCGAAACTTATTCCTTAAAGATATCAAATAATTTTATTGAAAATACAGTCAGTTTCACTTTTAAGGCACAAACTTTCAATAAAATTTAAGGCACAATAAAAATCTCAAATTAAGGCACAAAATTCAGATTCTAGTAAAATAAATTGTAAAAAAAGATAATTACAAATTTTTTGCCTTATTTTGAGATTTTTTTGTGCTTTAAATTTCATTGAAAGTTTGTGCCTTAAAAGTGGAACTGACTGTAGTAATATGGGAGCTTTGTAAGAAATATTTGTTCAAAATGTATAAATGAAATTTGTATTTCAATAATAAAACACAACAAGATTTATTACTATTTCAACCTTATGTTAAAAAAAAAGTTCAAGACAAGAATAGTACAATCCATATAAATACTTTCAAGACTTTTTCTAACTTTCAAATTGACAGTCCTCAAGATTTCTGTCTCTGATATTCTTTAATATTTTTTCAAATTTCAAATACTTGATACAAACTTTTATAGGCCAAAAAAAGGGTAAAAAAAAATAATCAACAAAAGATTAAATTTAAAATTTAATTTATATTTTTTCTCAAAGTTTCATATCGAAAAAGATTTGTTAGCTTTCAAAAAATTAGAAAATCTATTTATCAAAAACAAAAATTGAGAAGTTGTTCACATTTCAAGTTTTTAAAATTTTAACTGTAAAAACTGTTAAATTGAAAGTTTTTGCATTGTGATCTTGTAATTCCTTTTTAAATTTGGACAACTTTCAAAAAAACAAAAGTGATTTTTTTATTATTTAACTGAGGAGTTTTTAATTCCTTATGTTTGCCCGAATTCCTAAATTATGATTTAGGAATTTTGTTAAAGACTCAAAAATAAATTTATTACCTACTAAGGGTAATAAATACGATGAATCTCTTTTTCTAATAATATCAAAAATAGTAATACAGTCAGTTTCACTTTTAAGGCACAAACCTTCAACGAAATTTAAGGTACAATAAAAATATCAAATTAAGGCACAAAATTCAAATTCTAGTAAAAATAAATTGTAAAAAAAAAAATTTCAAATTTTGTGCCTTAATTTGAGATTTTTTTGTGCCTTAAATTTCGTTGATAGTTTGTGCCTTAAAAGTGAAACTGACTGTAAAGACCTTTTAAAGACCTTTTAAAGATGCTTTAAAGACCTTTTAAACTTTTTTCATTTTCTTTAAAAGGTCTTTTAAAGATCTTTAAAATGTCTTTAAAAGGTCTTTAAAGGAAAGCTAAAATTTCAGGTTTGCTTAAAGGAAAGTAAAAAGCTTCACAAGTCGAATGGAACGGCTGTATTTGGTGAACATTGTGACTTTTCTTCAATAAATTGAACTAGCTTGTCAATTGAATACTTACTTGGTAAGTTTTTAAAAAAGAGTTTTCTTATCATTGGCTTGTTTTAAATTTTCTGAACTGAAAAAAATTTTGGAAAAAATAAAAAAGGAAGAAAAAAATCGAAAAAAAAAAAAAAAAAAAAATAAAAAACAAAAGTGTTGTCAAGTTTAAAAAGTTACTACAGTTTTTTGAATTATTCTTTCTAATACTGTTAACAATTTTTTCTTCAATTATTGATCATTTTTTTTCGTTTTTTTTTCTTAAAAATAATGGATGACTCTGAAGATTCACAAGATAACACAAACCCCATTAAAATTACTGTAAGTATGTGTGGTTGTTCTGGTGTGGGTAAAACTTCAATTATTGAAAGATTTGATCATAATAATTTTGAAACAAACATGCAACCGACAATTGGTTGTGCATTCAAAAAAATAAAAATTAATTCCGAAGGAAATGAATTGGACTTTTCTATTTGGGTTCGAAATTTCTTTTTAATTTTTTTTCTTTTCTTTTTTCCTATTCAATTTTTTCGTATTCTTTATGTTTTTGTGATATTTATTAATTTCGTTTTCTTTTGTGAAATGGAATCAAATTTCAAAAATCTTTTAATACTGAAAAACATCAATTAATAATACCAAGGACACTGCAGGTCAAGAAATTTTTCATTCTATTTCAAGACAATATTATCATAATACAAACATTGCAATCATAGTTTATGATATTTCTAACAGGAAATCCTTTCTAAAATTAAATTTTTGGCATAAGGAGGTTGTCGAAAATGCTCAAACAAATGTAAAATTTCTGATCATTGGGAACAAAAGTGATCTAGTAAAAAAGAGAGCTGTTTCATTTGAAGAAGGCCAAGAATTTGCAGAAAAAAAGTACTCTTCATTCATTGAAACTTCTGCAAAAAATAACGAAAATATTCAATTGGTGATTGCTCAACTCATAGAAATTGTTAACCACAACAAAGAATCCATTGTAAAACAAATTCAAGACAGTCAGCTCGACCTACAAATCAAAATAAAAAAGCAACAAGACGAAATTCATAAAAAATCTGGATGTTGCTAATAAGCAGGGTTTTTCTGAAAAAATTATTTTAACTGAGATAAATAAACTTCGTGATCTGTTGTCTTTGTGTCTGAATAGAAACAAAACATTTTTTTTTTGACTTTCAGTCAAGTGACGAGAATTAAAAAAGATATCCCAGGAACTACATAAAATTAATTTTCTTCAATTACTTCTTTTATTTCCTCTTTTTTGTTAGCCCTTTAAAATTCAAATTTTATATTAATAAAAACTGTTCCAAATATTGTTACTTTATTTTTTTTTTTTAACAACCAACTTTCCAAAAAAAATTAGCAATGAAATTTAATAAAATAGAGAAATGGTCTTGAAAACTGATTAATTTTGGATGATATTTGAATACAGTTAGTTCCACTTTTAAAGACCAAACTTTCAACAAAAATTAAGGCACATAAAAATCTCAAATAAAGAACAAAATTTTGGAATTTAGTCAAATAATTTATAATAAAAAAAAATTCCAAAGTTTGTGACTTAAATTTTGTTGAAAGTTTATCTCTTAGAGGTGAAACTGACGTTAATAGATGGAAAAAAATTTTAACTTTGATTTCTTTTTCTTCTTCTACATTAAAAGATTGTAAATTTCAACCTACTTTTTTGAAAACTGATCACTTTCAATATTTATTTATTTATTTATTGAGAGAAAGGAGTAATCAAAGAAAATTTACTTAATAAAAAAGAGAAGAAGAAAAATAAT